AGGAGCGCATCACCAAGGATGTCAAACATCCTCAGCATGTGCGTAACTGTATCATTATTAACGTCATTGTTATTATCCATTTACAATGTCATTAGATGAGGAGGCAGACAGTATGTAGTAGTAGGTTGCTAGACAGTAACCACCCAGGGAGGTGCTATCGTCTTCTTATAAAATAATGACGTGAAGTCTGTTAAGAGTTTCCGCATTCTGACAAGATTGATTTTTTTTTTCTCACGAATATGTAAGTTAGGTAAATCTTACACTCCTCTACTTACATTCAATGTGTCCCGTAGCTCGGTTGGTACTGCGCTCAGCTCACACCGGGGTCCGTGTGACACCTGCTGTCCTTGTTCGGTTAGCAGTAAATAGGTATCCGAGTGTTAATCGATTGGTGTGGGTCGCATCCTGAGGGACAAAATTAACCTAAGTTGCCCGATATGCTGTACATAACCAGGGGCTTTATAGTACATAATTGCTGTCAACTATGGTTGGTATAAGTTGTATCATGCACTTGTAAAAATAGATTATCATTATGCATGTTTTTAATTATTATAATCAAGGGGGAAGCGCTAAACCCGGAGGATTATACAGCGCCTGGGGGGGGATGTGGAAGGCATTCAGGCTTAATTCGGGGAACTGGAGCACAGATCCAATTCCCTAAATCAAGAGCCCCTCACCAACATCAAGGAACCTTCCTTGAGGGGACTGCATGTTTTTAAATATTTCTTATTCCCGTAAAACTTCGTAGAGAATTTACACCTGGTTTCAGACCGGGTCGAGGGAGAGATGATTCCTGGAATCATTAACAGATAACAGAAAGATTAGGATTGGTTCGCTTACTAGAGATGTAAATTATTAACCATTCTTATTATTATTGCTATTAGTATTGCTGTTAAAATTATTTTTATATTCGAAAACAAGCACCAAAACGTATGGTGACATTGTCTTGTAAAACATATAGTGCACTCATCCATGGCTCTGACATATTTGTAGTTCAGTTCGTTCAGAAATCGAAGCTGTGAACGCGAAAGAAAATTGCCGTAATGTTAATTATTATTATAATCAAAAAGAAGCGCTAAGCCACAAGGGCTATACAGCGCCGTAATGTTAAGAGGGTGAGGTGCAGCAGTCCTTCAAGACCTACGAACATTACGGTAATGTTTATTCATCTCGATGTTTATACGAGTTTTATACTTCTAGGTGTTTATCAGTCTCGATGTTTATTAATCTCTATGTTCATAATTCTCGATGTTTATAGTTCTCTTTGTTCATACGTCTCGATGCTCTTCTCGATGTTAATACATCACGATGTTTATACATTTCAATGCATAATTATACATCTTGATGTTTATATATTTTAATGTTCATTCATATCGATGTTCATACATCTTGATGTTTATACATCTTAATGCTTATACATTTTGATGTGCATACAGTATACTATTCTGATGTTTATACATCTTGAAAATTGGCTCTCTTTTCAAGAGATAAAAGTAATCAATTTTGTATCTATACCCACAAACCGCTGAGAAAGAGAATATTTTTCACATTTACTCAGGCTTAGTCTTTCTCAGCATCTATGGTGTGTGTCAAGTGCTGAGAGGAGTGTGGGACCCTCCTCTCCAGCTGACATGAGGAGGGGGGAGTAGGGGTGGAGGAGGAAGCAAAGAAGGGGGGAAGAAGTAAAGAAGGGAAGAAATAAAGGTAAGGGTAAGAAGGTAGAGGAGATAAAGGAGGGAGGGGGAGTATTAGTTAGGCCATGGATTAAACTATGGTTTGCAGGTCATCTAACAGGGGGTGTGACAGATAGAAATTTTATACCACTTGCTTAAATAATAAATACACTTGGATTGTAGTATTGTGCAGTCACTTTTTGAACATAGTATTCGAAGTAATTCAGCAGAGAGCAATGATCCTCCCAGTTTACCTCTATCTACCTACCAATGAGCAGCTACTCAACTTCCAAACAAGATGAAACGACGAGTATGCGAGGTTTCACGTATGGCAGACACATGTGGGAACTCTTAAAGCTAGTTTTCTCAGGCATAGCACCATTAGCACTGGAAACCTTCACTCATAGGGGTTATGATGACTACAGGGATGGTAATAGCAAAACTACTAAAAGGATGCCCACAGGCCATTCCCCGACATTTATGCTTGTGCTGTTTGTATAAGCATGCACAGGTTAGCAGACTGTTTTTGTGATGAAACTAAAGCAAGAACTTTTATCTATGATCATCATCTTGAACCACTCGAGCATTACAAAAATGAAGACAACGCCCGTCTTAAAATTGCATAGTTAATTCACATCAGTCTCCCTACTAAGTTTCTAGCATTACCATCCTGTCAATGTGTATAATGTACATACTAAATACATGCATGCTCAAGGATTTGCTCTTAAACAATTTTTAAATCAATATTGTTTATATTATCTATGTTTCCTACATGTACAAGTGGAAGACCTCTGTATAGTGTGTATGAACCATGAAGCTTACTAAAGCTGATGACATAACCCACCAGCATCAATAATTACTATCATTGCTCTATAAAAAAAACTACAAACACTTTTGGGATGGACAATTTCCAAAACATTTCGCACTACAATCAAGCTATAATTAACAGTTATCACATCTTAACAAAAGTATTGGCTTGATCAATTTTTCAAGGCCAAAAAATCCTAATACAATACTATGTATTCAAACATGCTACTAATATGTATTACAACTGTACAAGTCTTATAAAAATATATTAATGTACATAAAAATCACATCTATACATATAAAATAGGTGCCCTACAAAATCCTGTTACTATATAGTAACTTGTATTCTAAGCATCAAATGTGGAAACTCGTTTAGCTTTCGACCACATTTACATTACCCACCTATTAAAAATATAATTTATCTCCCCCATATCTTCTTTAAATATGAAAACAAAAAATTATAACAGTTGCTGGTGCATATCAGGAACCTACAGCACCTTACTCAAACACATACCTACCATTTATGTTAATGAGCTCAATTCATTTATAAAATGTGTACCATGCTATTCACTGCATCATAAACAAGTGTAAAATGGGTTTCTTTTGAGATTTGTGTACCTGTTAAACCCAGTTACATTGTGTACCGATGCAAAGACTGATAGTTAATATATATAAATTAAAACTCCACATAGCGTAGATGGTTTTCAATCGATGTCAGCAGGGATACATCTGTGTCTTTTCCTGAAGTACCTTCATAATTACAGTGGTGCAACCTGTTGATTTAGATACATAATCTAGACAGATGAGTTATACTACATTGCCACCATTGCCATCCAGACACTTATGATCTATGTGGAATGCATGTTACTTTCCTGATACCTTTAAAGTATTACACCATAACACTTCCAACTCGGGTCTCCACTATCCCCTACACCAAGTATGATAATACTGTAATGCAATAAAAAATCAAGCGCTAAACCCAAAAAGATCACACAGTATTGCTAGGATATGTTAAAAGATATATAGTCAGAGATAAGGAGTGAGTGAGGGGGCAGTGGGTGTACAGTGCAAAAGGTAAAATAAAATCAAAGTTGGTGCAATAGGTTAGTTTCTTTTAAAAGTCAAAGAGTCTGCATCAAAGTTAGGGTTTTCAACAGAGGTTAGATTGGGGGCAGTGTACATGTTGGAAGTGAATTTATATCCCTGCTGATTGGTGGGGAGATGGCCAGAAACCCAAATGAGGTTAAAAAAAAAAAAAAACTATGGAATAACTCAGACTACCATTGTTGCCCCAGTGGTTGTGAAGTTCTCAAGAGATCAGTGAAGAATAGTCCAAGAAAGGTATACCTGTGTGAAATTGGGAGTTTACCAGTTTCGACATAACTTGCATGAATGGCCACGAGAATTGCATACAACTTGGCTGCAAAAACACTGGCCAAGTATGCAGAGCATGAACACCACATAAAAAAAAAAAACAGGGTCTGCTTGCAATGTGAAAACATCAGCAATGCATGTTATTCATCATATAAAAATTTGTAACCAACCCTTTCTTTTATGATCATCCCCATGTTTGGAAAATCTTTATAAATCTGATTGAACTGTATTTCTGTTTTTTACCATTTGGTTTAGTCTTTACAAATAATCTCCATTTATTATCCTGCCAAGCCATTTAATGGGTAGGTCCTCTTTTCTATCATTATTTATTTCATTTGAAGTTATACAGACATTTATTAATGTTTCATTTAGTTACTTTCATACAAAAATACACTAGCTTTTAATTGCAGTATCACCTTTCCGATTATGATTCTTTGCAATCATCTTGACTACTTACCAGTTTTTATTCCAATTATGAGAATACAGTGCAAGTGTACATCATTTCTTTGCATCAAGTATGACACTAGCTATTTCTGACATACACCGACTGTGGTAAAATCTTCAAACTTCAAGTAGCAGTAATTCCAGTGCTGAAAATGAGTCAAACCTAATAGCAATAGATTAATACTATTTCATTTCTCCCTTCAAGGGGTTGGGGGTGCCTTGATGTTAGTGAAAGATCTTTGTAGCTACCATGCTCTTCCTTGGACCAAAACTAATTACTCCCCATTCCTCAAGTGCTGCATGACCATGACTGATGATCATGATGATTGATGATGACAACACTGATAATAAAATTTGTATCGACAGACATAAGCACAAATAAAAAAAATCAGTAGTATAATACTCTTCAACCTTCTACTAGCCAAAATAGAAATACTAACAAAGGCTCAAATTTTGAAGAGCAAACTAAGCTGGTTCTTATTCTAAGTGCGAGACCATGACGGTTATACAAGCTTTTGCTGGCAGTAATAGCCTGGTTGATCAATCAAGCATTCAATAGGGAAGTTTTGGCTTCTGGCTGGGCTGCAAAAATGACTACAGATATGACTTGTCAATACTGCATAAGTCATAACTAATTGTTAGTGCTATAGTTAATAGGTTGTGCAGAAGTTAAAACTGTTTATGTAGGCTAACAAATACCAATTTCAAAAGTATGTTTTCATTTGTAAATATACAAACATTGTCTAAAATTGGAATAAAATATACAATATTTCAAATCCTGAATTTCAACACCAGTAATTCAATAACAAATAACACAATATAAAAAAGATCTCAACATTGTTTGAAGAACTAAAGAATTATAACCACTCAATTATTTTAAAAAAGTACTGTAATGCTCTTTGCTTAGCACAAATTAGTGTATTTTATGAATGTTTTAATATATTGTCTTTGTCATGTTGAAAATTCGTCAATTTAAAACTCAAGTCCTACAACCTACTGTGTAGTCATACCTAAATGATTGATCTGGCAGATATTTATTTTTCAAACTGTTCAAACCAATGAATTTTCTATGTGCTTTCAATATAAGTACAGATATTTTTACCGTTTACCAAAAAATAATTAAAAAAAGTATTATAGTATTCAGGTCTTGTCATAGCCAAGAAAACAAGGCATGCATCTACATAAGAGAAAAATAACAACTTCACTTGCAACATTAAATCAATTTTGATGTACACACTTGTGCAGGTCCCGCATTTCTCATCATACACTGCCATATTGCAGGGCACTTATTTTCACATGGCATTTATTTTAATCACTATTATCATCATCTTCCTCTACAATAAGGTCACTATCATCATTTTCCTCTTCACTCTCACTGACATCTTCCTCTTCCCCCTCAAGCTTTCTTTTAACTGAACTGATTTGCTGATCCACTTCCATATCAGAATCCTCGTCAGTGTGACCATTAACCTCCCCGAAGTTCGATAAGTCATCCCAATTGTCCTCAGATTCTGATATCCCAAGTGTCGCTTCCATTATGTCCTCTTCATCCGACGGATCTGAAATAATTAAAATTATATACATTACAGGATGTAGATAGAGGGGGTATTTTTGTTACTTCTTTTTTTTTTTTTTTTTTTTTTAACAAGTCAGTATTGTACTTCCCACCACTGTAACCCACTGTACTGCCAAGACTCGAATCTGGCTAATCTGTTTCCCTGAATCCCTTCACAAAACATTACCCTGCTCACTCCAACAGCTCGTTAAGTCCCAAAAACCATTCATCTCCATTTACTCCTATACTAAAACATGTCTCACATGTCTGTTATGTCCAAGCCCCTTGCACACAAAACCTCTTACCTCTTATACCCCCTCCCTCCATTAATAATAAATTAATATTCTTCAACAAATGCTTCTGCTTTCATTTTGACTTTTCAACTATTTTTTTTTTTCAAGGGGCTCCAATGGTCACAATTCAGATCCTCAGAACTTTTTTTAAGGTTCCCTTGAAAATAAAACTGAAATAAGGTCTTGGCATTTACATGACATGACCAAAAATTCAGAGATTGCACGAAAAGTAACAGGAAAACAAAATTATACAGTACCTAGAAAACACATCGAAACCACTAAGGCATAAGGGCCCTTTAAATGTACGGTGGAACCTCGGCTTATGAACTTAATCCATTCCACGACCTTGTTCACATCCTGATTTGTTCGTATGCCGAGTCAATTTTCCTCAATTAAATTAATTGAAATGCCATTAATCCGTTCCAGCAGAATTCCTGCTGTCAAGAGGCAGTTCAATACATTTCAATGTGATGCTAATATCAAATCTACGGCTTTTTTTCCTATCACAACTGATCTAATATGACATAATAAACAACATAAATAACATAGAAATCTGATAAATACTCTAGAATGAATAAAATATGTCATTACATATGTGACTACATAGTGATGGTGGCAGCTGAGAGTATTGTTTGGAGACAGGACAAAATTCTACTTCAATATGATGCTAATATCAACTCTATGGCATGTTTATCTATCACAATTGATCTAATATGACATGATAAACAATATAAATAACATAGAAACCTGATATATACTCTAGAATGAATAAAAAATACAGTGGACCCAGGATATCGTAGTCGTTGGATTTCATAATAATCGGTAATCGTAACGTTTTTACATCAAAATATTGGCTAGGTGATCGTCATTTACCTCGGTAATAGTCGTTCGTCCCAAACGTGTATGTGCAGCCCCACACACCATTCACAGTCAGTCTGCCATTGTTTATCAGCGAGTGACCATCACCCCATGCGTTCATAAGATACATTTTGTAATACATATAGTGGACCCCCGAATTACGACATCATCAGAATTCGTAATGTTTGAAATAAGTAACGTTTTTTCATCAAAATATTGACTCGGTGATCGTCAGTGAACTCGGTATTAGTAATTCGTCCCGAAAGTGTCTGCGTGGCCCAAGTGGTCCGACACACCATTTACAGCCAGTGTGTCATTGTTTATCTGCCAGTGAGGATGATCCCACACGTTCATATGATATATTTTGTATTATTCCATTCTTTTTAATGCTTGCAACTGCTAAATACGCCACCATGGGCCCAAAGAAAGTTCCTAGTGCCAGCCAGCCCTTTGGTAAAGGGCTGAGAGAGAAGGGAGAATGTGCCTTTTTCAGTGATTCTGCAATATGTATGATACTAAAGCAGCAGGAGTCGATAAAGGCTATAGCACCAGCAAGCGATAACGTGTAGCATTAACAGTGTAGTAAGTTAAGCGATTAATCGATAGAAAAAGGACAGCACGAAACTGAGTCCTTCATTGTTGTTGGAGGTATATAGGGCTACTGACTACCACCACCGCCTCTGCTGCCTCTTGCTGCCGCCTTCACCACCACCATGTAAGACTTATTTTTCAATGGCCCTTATATACCCAACAACAAACAACACACCACCACTCGTGATATTCTTAATGCCACATTTTATTCATTCGCGAGTATATATATATATATCATGTTTCTATGTTATTAATATTGTTTATTACGTCATATTAGATGAAATGTGCTAGATAAATAAGTGTCATATTGAAAGACTATCTTGTCCTGTCTCCCAACACAATTCCTAACATACGCCAGAAACAGACCTCTGGAACACTTTTTTGAACGACAGGGGTCCAGTGACTCAAGCTGGTCCTAGTGCCATTAAAAAAGCAAAGAAGGGAAGTAACCCTGGGAAAGGACTTTGTACCTGAAGCACAGCATCATCAGCGAAGAGCAACTATGACAATTCCCACTTTGTGTTTGATTCTTTATCTTTTATTTTCAGACTTTTAATATGTCTAGAGGCTGCATAAATTCACTAGACATATTTTGCTATGCCTGCGGGTAATTCCCCCCTTCAGATTCCCAGAGCAACATTACTCCTTTATTGAAGTGCTGCTACTTTGCTTATTTTTGTACCACACAAGAGTTGCATCATTAAGCTCCAAATATGGTCAGTTGGAAAACTTAAATGTATGTGTCCTTTGGAGTACCAATGGTATGGCAGGAGCTGATGAACCACCATGATGACTGCTACTTTTGTATGACTAAAGTAGCTGGATTCAACAAGAAGACTAAAGATTGCTTAATATACCCAAATATTCCTTCAGCAATAAGGCCTGTTCCACACTCTGAAGATATTCCTGTACCTGTGCCACCTGAGGCATGGCAAATTTCATCCGAGTCTGATACCAGTGATTTTAAGGAGATGCAACTATGAACCACCAACAAATGATGATCCCAAACCCTTCAACCAAGTTGAGCTCAATGACTTGGTGAAAGACCTTAACCTTCCAAAAGACAGTGCACAGTTACTTGGCTCTAGACTGAAGGAACACAGGCTTCTAGCTCCTGGAACAACATTCGCTTGGTACCATCATCATGAAGCGGAATTCACTCAGTTCTTTGACAAAGATGAATCTTTAGTTTTCTGTTCAAATATTTCTGGCCTTATTGAACACATGGGGATGTCATACACAGCAAATGAATGGAGATTCTTCACTGATTCTTCTAAAAGTTTAAAGGCTGTACTTCTCTACAATGGCAACACAGCTGCATCTGTGCCAATTGGCCAGTGTACAAATGTCAAAAACTTACACAAATATGAAGACACTAATATCTGCAATCAAGTACCAGAATCACAAGTTGATTTGGAATTCATATGTTCTTAAAACTAACAGAATGTGTTTTTCCATGATTACTTGCCTAATTTTAATAAATTAACAATTTATTAAAAATTCACATTTTTTATCATTAATTTGTATTTTATTAAAAATCCTTACGTGATAGAACAAAATGGTTCAGATATTTACGATCAGCAGCCCAAGAATATGTAAGATCGCAACCATGAATAAAAATAAAAATTAAAAACATTTCAATTGCAGACCGGTGTAATGAATGCACTAGACATACATGACTATACAAAACAAAGTGTCATTAGCTTGTACTAATTTAAAAACCTAAATATTGAAACTATCCAGGCCAGGATTATTAACCCTTTCAGGGTCCGTCCCGTAGATCTACGGCTTTACGTTCAGGGTCCAAACCGTAGATCTACGCCATGAGCTCAGCTCACTCTGATAAACTGTGAGTGGTACATTTGGGCCTAGATATGAGAGAATACATCTATGTGGTATGTGTGCACCACATAAAACAGATCCTGCAGCACACTGTGTATAATGAGAGAAAAAAAATGAAATCATGAATTTTCGATTAAAACAGCAACTTTGCAGTGTTTTTTCGTATGTTTTTTATAGTTGTATTTGCGATTTCTTGGTCTCATTTGATAGAATGGAAGACATATTACAGAAATAGAGATGATTTTGATTGATTTTAGCACTGGAAATGGCTTGAAACTGAGCTCAAAGTAGCAGAAATGTTAAATTTTTGCCGATATTCAAGAGTAAACAAACGACCTCACACGTCTAATACACGTCAGCTGGTGGGTCTAATATACATTCACAAATATGGTGATGACATTTATACAATTATTACAGTATTGCATAACAGTAAATCTTCTATTTTTTGGTGTGAATAAAAATTCATTATGTGAATAAAAAATCAAAATGGAATTTATTTGTAAAGCCTCAAAACATAACTAATGAACAGAGGAAATGTTAGTTTAGTGCCAGGAATGCCTACATTGTTCATTCTGGACCCTATTTTGAAACTGGAATATTTTGAACTTTGTGTTAAATTGGCCAAATTAACAATTTCCAATCACTTTATTTTGTAGTTGAAACAGTTGACTTGGCGATTTCTTGTGCTCAATCGATAGAATAGAAGTAATACTAGTGAAATAGCTAAGAATTTGGTTGATTGGAATAATGTAATTGACCTAAAATGGGAGTCAAAGTCGGCAAAATCGCCGATTCGTAAATATCGCTGACACATCAAAATTCGCGAGAGCATAATTTCGTCATTTTTCCACCAAATTTCGTACTTTTTGTTTTATTACCATCACAAAAAGATTCTCTACGACTTCATAAGAAAAAATAACAAATTTTTTTTTTGAAAATTCTTGGACACTGGTGCGTGACTCCAGATTTGGGCCTTGGACCCTGAAAGGGTTAATAGATCATATTCATTGTGTACATTGGCTTTTAATTTAGAAATGAACATAACACTTTTTTTTTTTAACACGTCAGCCGTTTCCCACCGAGGCAAGGTGACCCCCCCCCCCCAAAAAAAAAAAAAATCATCATTCAACACTTTCACCATCACTCATACATAATCACTGTTGTTGCAGAGGCACTCCGATACAATAGCTTAGATGTCACTCCAAACTACCAATATCCCAAACCCCTTCTGTAACCCTTAAACTGTCCAAACAGATCTACGTTCACATGCGTAGTACTCCAAAATTACATCTATGTTTTTTTTTACATATTTAAAAAAAAAAAAAAAAGTAGATCTAAGTTTTTTTACACATTTTCAAATGTAAAAAAAAAAAGTCTACATTTTTTTACATACAGTGGTCCCTCAATAATCGTCCATAATCCGTTCCTGAAAGTGGGACTATTATCGAAATGGAGGATTTTTGAATCAATTTTCCCCATAAGAAATAATGTAAATCCAATTACTTCGTTCCAGACACCCAGAAGTATCAACAACAATTTTTTTTTTTACCTAAAAGATAGATTTACATGCACAAAAGAATGAACATTCAACATGACAGTTACCTTTATTGAAGGCTGTTGTTGATGAATGGAAGACAGGGAGGAGGAGAGAGGGAAGAGAGGTTATTTGGAAGGGGTATCCCCCTCCATAAGGACTCTAGGGCACTAATAAAATGTATAAATGAACATTGGTAATAGGGGTAGTTGATGAGTGGAACTGTCTGCCTAGTAGGTGATCGAAGCTAAAACATTGGGTAGTTTCAAATTTAGGTTGGATAAATACACTAGTGAGAGGGGTTGGATTTGAGTCGGACTTGCACCTGAGCTTATTGCTTGGGTAGCATTTGTTCTGTTAGGGGGTTTGGATTTGTGAAGGGCCCGGCCTAGTATGGGCCAACAGGCTTATTGCAGTGTTCCTCTTTCCAATGTTCTAAAAGCTATGGCTTGGGTAGTTTAAAAATTTAGGTTGGATAAATACACGAGTGAAAGGGGTTGGATTTGAGTCGGACTTGCACCTGAGCTTATTGTTTGGGGTAGCATTTTTTTCTGTTAGGGGGTTTGGATTTGTGAAGGACCGGCCTAGTATGGGCAGCAGGCCCTGTTCCAGTGTTCCTACTTTCTTAAGTTTTTAAATTTAACATCACACAAACCCCGTAGGGTGATCGAGGGCTAGGACCTTGGGTAGCTTCAAGAAGAGATTGGACAAATATACAAATTGGAGGAGCTGAGTTTGATTTGTGTCATTGGGTACGGGAGTAAATTCTTGGGTAGCTTTGGGTGGAGGTCATCTTGATAAGGACCTGCCTTGTATGGGCCAGTAGACCTGCAGTCTTCTTCCATTGTTATGTTCTTATTGGCTATTTGTTTGTGTGAGGGAGGGATGGCAAGTTTATTGTTGGAGAATATGACACTAATATCAACTCTATGGCTTATTTATCTATCACAATTCAACTAATATGACATAATAAACAATAGTAATAACATAGAAACATGGAATATACTCTAGAATGAATAAAATAAGTCATTACGTATGTCACGAGAGGTGTTGTGTTGTGTTGTGTTGTTGGGTATATAAGGGCCACTGAGTGTAAGCCGTCCATAATGGTGGTGAGGCGGCAGTGGTTTTTGTAGCCCTATATAACTCCAACAACATTGGAGGATGGAAATAAATGGTATAAAATATCAACACAATGGAAATATAAACACATATGCAGTATAATGTGATCCTTTATTGACAACGTTTCACCCACACAGTGGGCTTTTTCTATAACCCCACCCAGTAGATCATCAGATGCAGCATTCTCCACCTGACCTCAACATTCTGAACATGACTATAAACACTCCCGTACCTTCCACCCCAGGTAGATCTGTGTGTGACTTGAAAAAGCCCACTGTGTGGGTGAAACGTTGTCAATAAAGGATCACATTATACTGCATATGTGTTTATATTTCCAACATTGGAGGAGTTGGTAGAATCGCTAAATCACTAAAGGAGGAACCTTCTACCACCATCATTACGACCTTCTACCACTATTACAACTGTTACCACCATCACTACTACCTTCTACCACCATCACTACCACCAAAGAAAGCTTCTAGTGCCAGCCCTTTGGTAAAGAATGTGAGAAACACATAATTTATGAAAAAGTTTGTAGAAAAATACAAAGATGGTGGTGGTAGAGTGGAAGCAGTTGTGATAGTGGTTGATGAACATAAGAACATAAGAAAGGAGGATCACTGCAGCAAGCCTGTTGGCCCATGCTCGGCAGGTCCTTTACAATTCATCCCACTAACAAAATTTTTTCCCCAACCCAGTCCTCAATGCTACCCAAGAAATAAGCTCTGATAACTCTATCCACTCATTTGGGACTTGCAAATGAGTGGATAGAGTTATCAGAGCTTATTTCTTGGGTAGCATTGAGGACTGGGTTGGGAAAATGTTTCGTTAGTGGGATGAATTGTAAAGGACCTGTCGAGCATGGGCCAACAGGCCTGCTGCAGTGATCCTCCTTTTTTATGTTCATCAACCACTATCACAACTTTCTTCCACTCTACCACCACCATCTTTGTATTTTTTTACAAACTTTTTCATAAATTATGTGTTTCTCACATTCTTTACCAAAGGGCTGGCACTAGAAGCTTTATTTGGAGACATGGTAGCTTATTTAGCACTTGCAAGCACTAAAATCAATGGAATATTATGAAATATTTCGTAGGAGCATGTGAGGGGACCGTCACTCACTGGTAAACAATGGCACACTGGCTGGGAAGGAAAGGCCGAGGCGGCTCAGAGCGTGAGTATGCGTCCAGGACGAAGGACTATTAGGACTATTAGCGAGTTACCGGACCATTTGCGAGCCAATATTTTGACGAAAAAACAGGACTATTTCCGAAATGGACGACTTTCAGGCCGGACGATTATTGAGGGACCACTGTACTTTCAAATGTTGAAAAAACGTAGATCTACGTTTGGACAGTTTAAGGGTTAAAGTGCAGGCACTGGGATAAAACATAACAGCTTCATAAACTGGGAGAAACAAGCTATCAAATAAGGTTATCTGTGCATATCTGTTGATAACTAGAAAGAAGAAGAAAGAGGAAACAAGAAAATTACAACTAGCTAGAGATAAACACATACCTTCCTTGTATACAAGAAGAGCTTCTGGCTCTACAGCAGCTTCTTTAATTTCTTGGTGTCTTCTTGTTACATGCATCAGCAATAGATCAAGTCGTGCATGCAGTCGAGTTAACTGATGGAGTGTTGACATTCTTGATGCAGACACTGCATAGAATGGTTGCAGTAACTCCACTCGATTGGGAAGTGTTGATAAAAGACTCATGTGGTGGTATAAAATAGACCTAACCCATCTCACGTACAAAAAATTTCTGGAATTCAACAGGAAAAAAACTGTAAATTCATTACCATTTATGGCAAATCAAATCAACTCAAGAATATAACTAGATCCTTTGTAATTTTAAGCATTAAAGATTACAATTTAATTTTTTTTTTCAACAAGTCGGCCGTTTCCCACCGAGGCAATAATATCTACGATAACTAACAATTTAATTAATCCATTCTCCTGTATATACAACTTCTCCTCACTTAGCGATGAACTCATTTACCAACAACTCAGACTTATGACAGACTCTCTGACCAGTTTGCATACCTAAATAATGCACAGGTCTCCATCAACATTCGCGTTTTCCACTTTCACAGGCTTCGAACATCTGCGAATTCCCAGACGCCCAATCATATTTAAAATATGTCATTACATATTTTAGGAATTGTGGTGTTGGCAAATTTTTTTTGGAGATAGGACAAGATAGTCCTTCAATATGACATTAATATCAACTCTACGACTTATTTATCTATCACAATTCATCGAATATGACATAATAAACAATATTAATAACACAGAAACATGACATATACTTTAGAATGAATAAAATATGTCATTAAGTACATCACGAATGTTGTTGCATTGTTGTTGCTGGGTGTATAAGGGCCACTGAGAGCATAAGCTTTACATGGTGGTGGTGGAGGGAGGTGGTAGAGATGGCAGAGTTGTCAGTTACCCTATATAACTCCAACAACATTGGAGTTACATTCGTGCTGTCCTTTATCTATCAATTAATCACTTAACTTACTTGCTACTGTTAATGCTACACTTCATCATTAGCTTGTGCTATAGCCTTTATTGACTAGTGCTGCTTTAGTATCATAGAATCACTGAAGAAGGCACATTCTCCCCTTTCTTTTCCTCCTCCACTTTAGTACTCTGCTACAAGTTCTTTCTTGAATTCTAGTCTTTTTCATTTTCTTTACCAAAGGGCTGGCACTAGTACAATATTTTACGATGTTTTCATGTGTTTTATAATTGTTCATGGTTCAATAGGTTAAGGAAGCAGTATCGTATTATATTTCCCTACAATATATTGGGGCACGAAACATTTGCGATTTTTCAACATTCGCGAGGCTCTTGATCCCCTAACCCTTGTGAACGTTGAGGGAGACATGTATATTAGAGCTGATTTCCTCTATTGTTTATTACAATATACTGTACACTACTGAATAAACATTTAAAAATATACCAAAAATGTTATAAATGGTGCAAAGGTGACAACAAAACAATATCAAAGATGGTTGACACAAACCCACTACCATTATAGTATGCTACTCACTTAGCGACGAACTCGTAAACTGATGTGGCCTTAGGAACAGAACTCCGTTAAGTGAGGAGAGGCTGTATTACTAAATTTAAAAGGAGAAACTTTTGTTTTTCCTTTCGGGTCACGTTGCCCCAGTGGTATACAGTCGGTTTGTTGAAAGAAGAAAATAACAATTTTCTTTCCTTGGTAAAACTGCATATTTTGAACATATCACAAAATAAAACATACAATTATGAGGTAATAAATCATTAAATTGTGCCCCTCTCAATAAATTAGCCACAGGGCACCTCATGTTGGACCTATAGTTGCTATTACCACTGGATGAGCCAGGGTCAATAGAAAAAAGATTTACGACTCTTTCCTGGGAACCTACTTAGAAACTTTGAAAATAAGGAACCAAAATATGGACAAAGCAGCCAAAAGAAACTAAATAGTATACTGTATTATAATAAACACTAAGTAATTCTGTATTATTATTATTATTATAAAATCTAAGTTTTTTCTTTTGTGACAACTGATCATCTCCCACCAAGGGTGACATTTATTTTTGGGTTATTGTTACTTATATTCTTAATTTTTTCTTAACCCTTTCTGGGTTGAGAGGCCCTCTCCTAAACATTCTCAGGGTTGAAAATTTTTCGGAAAAAAAAAAAAAGTTATTTTTTTCTTATGAAATGATAGAGAATCTTTTCCCGATCATAATGACACCAAAAGTATGAAATTTGATGGAAAACTTATGGAATTATGCTCTTGCGAAGTTAGCGGTCTCGACGATGTTTACGCATTGGCAATTTTGCCCACTTTGAGCCCTATTTTCAACCAATTCCAGTGTACTAGTCGACAAAAATCGTAACTATTTCGCTAGAACTCCATTTTCTCTATCGAATGAGTACAAGAAACCACCCATTTACTGATTTCAACTATCCAATAAAGTGGTCAGAAATTGGCAATTTTGCCAATTTCACACAAATTTCAAAAGATGCCCATTTCCAAAAAGGGTCCAGAATAAACAAGACAGACATTCCTGGCACTAAAATAACACTTTCTCTGTTCATTAGTCACGTCCCCAGGCTCCTCTCACATCTCACATATTACAATTTTTGAAATATGTCTTCCAATCTATAAAATGAGACCAGTAAAACTAGAATACAACCATAAATAGCATACAAAAATACACTGCAAAGCCGCTGTTTTAAACCAAAAACAGGGTCAGAGTTTTCTTTTTCTCATTATGCACTGTGTGCTGCAGGATTTTTTTTTATACTGTGCACACTGTCCACATAGACCCATTCTTTCATATGTAAGCCTACCGGCTTTCTCTCGCTAGATTTAAAGGCACTAGAATTTACACGTACTAGTACATCAATAACCTTGGCGCGTAAGCCGTACTAGTACGTCAGAAACCCTAAAAGGGTTAACCCTTATTGGCCATCTCTCTCAGCCAAGGATTTTTGAACTACAATCCTGCAAACTCCATGGGGAAGCAGAACAGAATACTTCCTTTGTAAGCCATGCCTGTCATAAGAGGCGACTAATATGCTGAGAACAAGGGGCTAGTAATCCCTTCTCCTGTATAAATTACCAAATTTGCAACCCAAGCTTCACACCCATATAAGTGTGTTGGTACCACTATACTTTCATACATTCCCTTCTTTGCCTACGTGGATAACATTTTTTGTCTCCAAAGATACCTCAACGCACCACTCACTTTTTTTCCTTCATCGATTCTATGGTTAACCTCATCCTTCATAAAAACCACCTACTGACAAGTCAACTCCCAAATATCTGAAAACATTCACTTCTTCCATACTCCCTCTCTCCAATGTGATATCCAAGTTTTCTTTATCTAAATCATCTGATACCCTCATCACCTTACTCCTATGTTCACTTTCAACTTTCTACCCTTACACACCAAACATCAAATAAACATTGGAAATATTAATTCAAATACTCTACAATACTTACTTGTGTCCTTTGCCTCTAATAACCAACTGCAAATGCTTTAACAAAGGCACAATTGCTGGTGTGGGCAGTCTTCGGACAGTATTGTCGATAGTGTCCTTATCTCCATGATCTATAACACTCTGAAGGATACGCTGGTCCTTACTGTGTAAGCCCTGAAATTAAGAGAAATTAGATGTACTGGTTCCAGGTACCACTTATATTCCTACCTAAAATTCCAAGCACATGGAATATTGAATCAACAAGAACTTGAAGCTGAAGTTGAATTGGATTATGGAAGTGGGAAATACAGTACAATACAGTGCCTACACTATGATGGATGGGTGAGGACATTAAAGTTGGAAGGGGCATTTGAATTGTAATGACCACATGCTTCTAGCAAGATAGCTATTTTATAAATCATGAAACAGTGAGAGGGCAAGAGAACAAGAGAAATGTAAACACTTAAGCAGTATAATGTGATCCTTTACTGACAACGTTTCGCCCACACAGTGGGCTTCATCAAGTCACAAACAGTATATACGTACATATATATTACCTGCAGCAAGAGATGAGCTACATTATCAGCTTTTGGAGGCTGTGTAGCATCTCCTGTTTTAGTTTTATCTATTGCTAGAGCATTGAGTCTTTCTTCCATTGGTAAAGCTGCTATGCCATCCGGGTCACCATGTTTTCTTTTCACCTTGCTGGTCTACAAGAAATATTTGATAAAAAAACAAAAATGGTTGGAATGCATGAAATAGTGATCTGTTTTTCCATATTTTATTAACTATCTGAAGTTGAAGGTAAGACAATTTCAACTCAGATTTGAAAATTTTAAGTTTCATTTATATTTTTATAAGGAGGCCTGTGGAGATACACAGCAAATAATGACTAAAAACACACTATCATTCTAATTAAAACTTACTGGTTCAACATCGACATAGCCTGGGCCTTTTATAAAAGTATCCTTTGTCATCAAGGGGTGTCACAATTTTAGCCAAAGCTGTTGGCTTTCTTGCTGCTGTTGCCGATGGGTCTGAGCGAATTATTTCTTTGTCTCCTGATAGATCTGAAATAGACTTTCAAGATATATGGTTAAATGAGATAACAAAAACCTTGCACTTAAATACATTGAAACCTTGATTTAATGGACTAATACGGCAAGAGGGAAACCTGTGATAGCGAATGTCTATTAACCCTTTCAGGGTCCGTCCCGTAGATCTATGGCTTTACGTTCAGGGTCCAAACCATAGATCTACATCATGAGCTCAGCTCACTCTGATAAACTGTGAGTGGTACATTTGGGCCTAGATATGAGAGAATACATCTATGTGGTATGTGTGCACCACATAAAACAGATCCTGCAGCACACTGTGTATAATGCGAGAAAAAAACTGAAATCATGATTTTTCGATTAAAACAGCGACTTTGCAGTGTTTTTTCATATGGTTTTTTATAGTTGCATTTGCGATTTCTTGGTCTCATTTGATAGAATGGAAGACATATTACAGAAATAGAGATGATTTTGATTGGTTTTAGCACTGGAAATGGCTTGAAACTGAGCTCAAAGTAGCAGAAATGTTAAATTTTTGCCGATATTCAAGAGCAAACAAACGACCTCACACGTCTAATACACGCCAGCTGGTGGGTCTAATATGCATTCACCATTATGGTGATGATATTTATACAATTATTACAGTATTGCATAACAGTAAATCTTCTATTTTTTGGTGTGAATAAAAATTCATTATGTGAATAAAAAATCAAAATGGAATTTATTTGTAAAGCCTCAAAACGTAACTAATGAACAGAGGAAATGTTAGTTTAATTCCAGGAATACCTACATTGTTTATTCTGGACCCTATTTTGAAATTGGAATATTTTGAACTTTGTGTTAAATTGGCCAAATTAACAATTTCCGATCACTTTAATTTGTAGTTGAAACAGTTGACTTGGTGATTTCTTGTGCTCAATCGATAGAATAGAAGTAATACTAGTGAAATAGCTAAGAATTTGGTTGACTGGAATAATGTAATTGGCCTAAAATGGGAGTCAAAGTTGGCAAAAGCGCCGATTCGTAAATATAGCTGACACATCAAAATTCGCGAGAGCATAATTTCGTCAATTTTCCATCAAATTTCGTACTTTTTGTTTTATTACCTTCACAAAAAGATTCTCTACCATTTCATAAGAAAAATTAACAAATTTTTTTTTTTTAAATTCTTGGACACTGGGGCACCACTTCAGATTTGGGCCTTGGACCCTGAAGGGGTTAAGTCCGAATAGTCAGATTGTTTTTCCATAATCGTAACAGTAACTGACAAATTGGGATTTAATAGACTTTGTCAGTTAAATGCAAAATCGATATACCCAGAGGAGTGTAACAAAAACAAACAATTTGCAAAATAACTTTCACCATTAAATCTGAAATCATCTTACTTAACCCTTAAATGGTCCAAACGTATATATACGTTTTTTCAACATTTGAAAGTATGTAAAAAAATGTACATCATCTTTAGTTTTTTTTTTTACATTTGAAAATGTGTAAAAAAACTTTCATCTACATTTTTTTTTGTTATATTTGAAAATAGAAAAAAAAAACAGATTTTTTTTTTGGAGCACAAACGGATATGAACGTCTTTTTTTTTGGGCCCGGTTTAAGGGTTAATGGACCATAATTAAAAGGAACATTCTGGATTAAATTTAAACTAAAGGTCTTTTTAAAAAAATTTTTTTGCTGTAATGTACTGTAGTTTTAATTCTTTTCAGTAGGGAAAAATAAAAAAAACTAAATACTAAAAAAAAAAAAGCAAATGCTGAAAAAAGCTTACATTTTTTAAATATAAAATCCCTTACCATTTTTTTCAAAAAAAAGGGAAAGGAAATAAAATGCCCAATAAGCCAATGAGGGGATACTAAAAATGAAACATCTTTACAGAAAAAGGGAAAGACACTACTGGAAAACCGTCTGCTTGCCTTTAAAATTTCACTAAAAAACAGGGAACCCCCCCCATACTTTTAACTACCTTTTTTTTGTGAATTCCTGAAAAAAAATATTTTGGGAATTTAAAAAGACAAAGTAAAACACAAACAAAGATAATAAATTCATATTATAGATTTTCTTCATTTTTTTTCACCCCTCAGATACCAAATTTTCTTTTTTTAAATTTAAACAAATTTTTCCCCAATTCTTACCCAAATACAGGATATTTATTTATCAAACTAAAATTTACTTAAATCTTAGTCACAGCCTATGAAATTTTTTCACATTTGCAAAACAAATCCCATACATTTTTGAAATATACTTTGACGCTAGACTTTAATGCGGCGTAAAAATATTGGGGGACCTACAAAAAAAACCAATGGAATAAATTGGGGCCAAAAGGGTTTTTAAATGAACAAAATTTCTAAAACCCCCCTTTCTCCTGTAAAATTAAAAAATTTTAAAAAGGAGAAACTTTCTTTTTTTTCCTTTTTGGGCCACCCCACCTCTTTTGGGGTTTCGGCGGGTACTTAAAAGGGAAGGATAATTCTATAATTAGGGGAAACTACTGACCCCTGCCACATATATGGCAGCATAGGGGCCCAAAATTCCCTTTAGATTCAACAATAATATGCATATTGCATGCCTGTTAAAGCGGGTTTTTCTATGACCCATTTTCCCATGACTAAAAACCATCAATACTATTAATTTCCAGCAAACAGAAATAATTTAAACCAATAAAATTTGGGATCAATAGAAAAAAATTAAGGAGACAAAAAATATGGTGATGATTTAGTTGCCACCAATGTAAACAAATCAGATCAAAGGAATAGGAAAAGGGGACAAAAAATTAGCCATGTGCAACATCCTGGGCATTTTTCATTTGCAGGCATTTTGCCATCCAGTTTTTTTAAATCAAAACATAAGTTTTCCACTGATTCAAACCGCTTTGCATTTTAACCCCTTTTACTGGGGCCTAAAAAAAAAGGTTTTTTTTAATTTTTTGCAATTAAGGGCCCAAAAGTGCAAAATTAGAGAAGCGGCAGTTTTTTGGGGAAAGCCTCAAGAAAGCGGGAATTTGCCTCCCACCCAGTGAAAAAGTGATAATTTTCCCCACTTATTGAGCATAAATTTAAAATTTTAAACTTTAAAAATACAGTAAAAACCCCGGATTTTCCGAAAACATCGTTTATCAAACGCAACAATTTCGACTGTTTTTTTTTTCGCACCAATTTTGTCCGATTTTCGAACGTACCAGACCTGTCTGCCCTCCCCCGCTCAGGCGCTGTGAGCCAGTCAGCTTTTTTTACCCTTTAAGGAACATTACCCTGCGTGCTCCCCCAAACATTTCAAAATAAATCTTGTGTTTAGTGATTGTTTTTTTGATTTTGAAATGGGAAAAAAAGCCACCATGGGCCCCAAGAAATTTCCTAAATGGCACCCCTTTGGAAAAAAAAAGTGAGAAACACCCCTAGAATGAAGCAAGAAATTGTACAAAAAAAACAAAGGGAGTGCGCCGCGTGGTTGAGGGAGAAAGGGGGAGGAGAATGGCAAGGCAGAATGGTGGAGGCGAGTGGGGGAGGTAGATGGTTGGGGGCAATAGTAAGGGCCTCCCCTCTTCTCCTATCTTCCAATGCCAACAAGAGAACCCTTTAAAAAGGTACTAAATTGATTTTAAAAAGCTTATTTTTTCTATTTCGTTTTCTCATTTAAGTACTGTATGTATTTTAAATTGGGTTTTTTTAAATTAAAAATTTAATTTTTAAAAAAAAATTTTTTTTGTGAATATTTTTTTTTGGGTAGGAATTGGGTTAATTGGGTTTTTAAAAATTATTTCTTTTGGGAAATATTTCTCGGGGGACCACGTATTTATGTATAGGGATATAAAAGTGGGGCCCTCGACTAAAGCTACTAATTTCCCTTTTCCCGAACTCATCGTTAGTCAAAATTAAAGTTAGCAAGTTAATTTTTCCCCATAAGAAATAATGGAAATCAAAATTAACCCCTGAAAGGGCACCCCCAAAAAAGGGAAAAAAAAAAATTTTTTTTTTACCCCATGAAATATTTTAAATTTTTAAAACACACAAACCCGAAAAGACATGCACCCTTTTCATGACACTTAAAACCCTTAAAAAAAGATCTGGTGAAAGATTGTTGGGATGGGAGGAGGGGAGGTGTTGATGGTCTTATTTTTTAGAAGGGGAAAACCCCCAAACAAAAAGGCTTTGGCGAATTTTTTTTTGCGCTAGTCGAGGGAAAAATTTTGCGTTAAAATGTAACGCTAGTTCCCGGGTTTATCGTTAATCGTGCCCTCGTCGTCGAGGGTTGAAATGTATTTCATGGTTTTCCCAAATATCTGTGGTTTTGGTTTCCCTGGGAGGGCCTTGGAATGTATTCCCAGCGGGGTAAGGGGTCCTACTGTAAAATTTACAAAGCCCCGGATTTGGGAAAAAAGCAACTTTTAAAACATGTAATACATGCAACTTAAAACATTTAATACATGCCAAACCAAAACATGAAAACATGCAATGAATACATAGCAGCTTAATACGTGGAAACCCCCTTGAGAGTGCATCCATGTGCGAGTTTTTCCAAATATAGGGAGTCGAAACGTAAATTTTTTTTCTTCCATATGAAGCGAAAAATTCCCCAGGGTTTGGGGCCCCCACTTATGGAGGGGGGGGGCCTTGATCTGGGAAGGGAACTCATTGGTTTATTGAAAATTGGGCAATGTATGATGGAAAAAATGGTTCTTAAAGTACACCCCAAAAAAGAAAAAAAATTTTGGGCCCTAAAAAATGGAGTTCACTTCCCCACAAAATTTGCCACTCCTTAAACGGTATTTTTGGGAGGTTTTTTTTTGGTTGGTCCCCATTTTAAGAATGGAAGAAAACTACAGAAATAGATATGATTTTAAAGTTTTTATGAAAATACTCAAATTTAAAAAAAAAGTTTTTATTTTTGGGGGGCCGGGGGTTCTAGAGTAAACAAAATTTTTCACCTACATTTTCCCAAAATCATCATAAAAAGGGTTTTACATAAATTTTTACAATTATTACAATAATGCAGTAGTCTGATAACAGTAAAAATTCTATT